ACATTCGGTATTTTTAAGATTTTAACAGAATTTTTAACTTTTTTTTTTAATGGGCAAAATCATTCCAAATGGTGGAGGGTGTTCAAAGAACGACGCGGCCTAAAATACAGCTTTTTGCTTGTTTTTTTTTCTTTTTTTTTGGTTTTTGGCGTTTTGTCAATAATTTTTTTCTGGAGGTTTACTGTGTAACTCGATTCGATAGTTCAATATTTCGGATGCAATTTTTTTCCTAGCAACAAACTTGAATACGCAAATAAATTACCTAGTTTCTATTTATCATATCCGAATATCGGATACACATACTATACTTACTACTTCGCATTTTTACTCATTTAACATCTACTGTAAAAAAAAATAATAAAAAAGTTGTTGAAATTCAATAAAAGCACTGAAATATTTAAGAATCTCATTGATTAATAGGTAAATATTTATTATTCTTTTATAAGAAAAATACTTCAAAAAAGGTCAACACGAAGGAAAGCCAATTTCAAATAATGCTCAATTCTTCATAAGTTAATCTGACAGGCTCCATGCGGGAGAGTCGTGTGATGCTTTTCCATTACATCCATTCACTGCACTTACATATGCGACCTGTATGATCGCATATCTAAAACCAGTAAGGAAAGCTCAAAAGTCGGGCGGGGCCGACTATATGATACCCTACACCACTATGCATATTTAGTAGAGCTCTCGTAAAAAGGTTTATACAGGGCATTTCAGAGCTCTATGAGATATTTGGTACAAAATCAAAATCTATCTAATTCTATCGTGCATTTTACGAACTATAGCTATCTCTGAACCGGGTTTCTCCAAATTTTACGTATTAGCTTCTAGACTGGTGATTTGGGCTGATATTGACCATTTAGTGCACATTTAACCCGAAATCGGATGAAGATATATATGAGAGCTATATCCAAATCTGATCCAAACCGATTTCGATAAAATTTAAAACAGCTATTCCTGTGCTCCATCTAATACCTGGTACCAAATATCACGGTTGTGGAGTGAATATTACGAATGTATGGGACTAAAACTCTAAATCGGATGAAACATATATATGGTTGCTATATCTATATCTGAACCGATTTTCACTAAATTTGATATACTTGCTTCTAGGCTGAATTTGGTCCGATGAACTAAAATTCAGTCCATTTGGACTTATATCGGCCATTTGGTGCACAATTAACCCGAAATCGGATGAAGATATATATGGGAGCTATATCCAAATCTGAACCGATTTCGATAAAATTACAAACAGCTGTTTCTGGGTTGTATCTTATATCTGGTACCAAATATCATTCTTGTGGAGTGCATATTACGAATGTGAGAGGTTTAAACACCAAATCGGATGAAAGATATATATGGGAGCTATAGCTATATCTGAACCGATTTTCTCCAAATTTGATATACTTGCTTCTAGGCCGAACTCGGTTGGGTGTGCCAAAATTCAGGTAATTTGGACTGATAGTGGACATTTGGTGCACATTTAACCCGAAATCGGATGAAGATATATATGGGAGCTATAGCTGTTTCTGAACCGATTTTCTCCAAATTTGTTGTATTTGCTTTAAGGCTAATCGCGGTCACATGTGCCAAAATTCGGGCCATTTGGGCTGATATTGTTCATTTGGTGGTCAATTAACCCGAAATCGGATGAAGATATATATGGGAGCTATATCCAAATCTGAACCGATTTCGATAAAATTTAAAACAGCTATTTCTGTGCTCCATCTAATACCTGGTACCAAATATCACGGTTGTGGAGTGCATATTACGAATGTGAGAGGCTTAAACACCAAATCGGATGAAAGATATATATGGGAGCTATAGCTATATCTGAACCGATTTTCTCCAAATTTGATATACTTGCTTCTAGGCCGAACTCGGTTGGGTGTGCCAAAATTCAGGTAATTTGGACTGATAGTGGATATTTGGTGCACATTTAACCCGAAATCGGATGAAGATATATATGGGAGCTATATCTAAATTTGATCCGATTCTCACCAATTTCAATAGGGTTCGTCTTTGGGCCAAAAAAATATTGTTTGGAAAATTTCATCTCAATCGGATAATAATTGCGACCTGCATTTTGTTCACAAGAATACATGGACAGACGGACTGACATGCATAAATCGACTCAGAAAGTGATTCTATGAAGGTTCTCAAAAGTAACTATGGGTCTATCTCGTTTCCTTCTCCATGTTACAAACAAATGCTCAAAGACATAATACCCTTACCACTATGTGGTGTAGGGTATAACAACAGAGAACATATTAGCAAAACGTGACGCGATTTAACGACATCCTCCCCTCAATAAAATATAAGGCTATAAAAAACATATTGTATACATGAGGCAGCTTTAATATTTAGGGGGTGATATCATATTGCAAAATACTTACAACCATTGAATTTATGTTGTGATTGAGCTTCCGGTTGAAAACCAGGTGCTCGTTTTTACTATTTGGATGTGGGTGAAACTAGCTCCTTTTATCCCTAGAATTCCAGACGTAGCATCGTTTGACACAGTTTTTAGTGACAAGCCAGTAAACCGGTCTTGACCGATTTGGCCAGTAAATTCCAGGATTATTGGTAGCTTGGAACTAATGTTCTCTAGCACGTAGTTAAATGCATCCTTGTTTAGCTGAAAATATATTCACGTTGAAACACAGGGTGAGATGGAAAAACTGCAACCAACTTCAGACTGCTGTCATTTCTTTCCAGCTCATTATATTGTTTACAAGCGTACGAAAGCATTTTAGAGTGAATTTTCCAAAAAAAAAAAGTTATTCGTGATGGAATTCAAGCGTGATAGTGTGATTTCTTTATATTTGGCTGGAAAACCACAAGTGGCTATCGTTAGAGCACTCCCGCATTTAAAAGTGAATAAATCTATTGCGTCTCGTACCATCGCTCGTTACCGTGATACTGGTAGCATAGCCCGACGTCAAGGAAATGGACGTAAGAAGACAGCAACATCAGCAGAAATGGTTCAAAAAGTAAAGAAACGACTTGATCGAAACCCGCGTCGCAGTGGCCGAAAAATGGCTCGTGAGCTGAACATATCGCAATAATCTATTCGGCAAATATTGAAAAATGAGCTCAGGGCAAAGCCATTGAAATTTCAAAAAGAAAATAGACTCAAACGAGCTAAAGAGTTGCTTCGCTTGGCCGATAGTCGTGAACTGCCGAATTTGTTTTTCTCCGATGAGGAAACATTCGTTGTCCAGCAGTCTGTAAACAAACAAAATGATCGTGTTTACTTGCGAAAGAAGTCAGCTGAAAATTTGCACCTTCGGTTGGCCACCAGAACTCAAGCGCCGGTCATGGTGATGGTGTGGGCCGCCATATCAGCCGATGGTCGCTCTCCGCTCGTATTAATCGACCGTAGCATCAGAATAAATGCCGAATATTACCGCGAAAATATTGTGGAGGGTGTATTGAAGCCTTGGGCACGCAAACATTTTGGCCGTAGACCTTGGACATTTCAATGGGACTCAGCATATACGCACTCAGCACTCGCCACCCAAGAATGGTTACAAAATGAGGTTACTCGCTTCATTTCTAGCGCACAAAAGACACCAAAATCTCTGGATACCGATCCGTTGGACTATTTTGTCTAGAGCAACATTAGGGCAGCATGTGACGGTTTCATTGGCCATTTGAAGGCCATAATTCGTGCTACAGGTGACCAATTCGAACAAATCTAAACTTATTCTAAAATTTGATGCTATTTCCGATATTTTTTGCTTTCATTCAATAAAACTTTAAATAATGAACTCGAAAATACTGCCAAAAGATATCCAATTAGCTTCAGCAGTCTGGTGTTGCACGGTTTGTCAGCCGTAGCTAAATAAAAGAAGCATTTCTGAATAGGAAGACAAAAAAGAGCAAAGGTGTGAGTACATAAGCAGCTTGAAGTTTTCACATGGCATATTTTGGTATATTATATAGGGATGTCAGAGCCGCACTAGAATCCTGCCTTATGTACCCACACCTCAAGTTCTTCACAAAATAATAATTAATAAATAAAAAAATAAAAAATTAGGAATATATATTTTTTCCTTTATTGATAACGATAAAATATTCCCCTAAAATATTTATAGAGGTCAGATATTTCACCCTAATCCATCATATCATTTCAAACAAACATTTGCATATTCCTTTTATCTCAATTGCCATGAAATGCCTCATAAATTCCAACAAACACCAAATAAGAGCAATAAAAGCTTTATCTCATTGTATTAAACGGCAAAAATAAACTTTTAAGCTGTTGCTGGACTTGGCACCCCAGCAATGTTTTATCGCTGCTGATGATCATCATCGGCAACAGCAATGAATGGCTTTATGATTTGATTGTTGACGATGATTGGTAGCGAAAGCTTTGCAACTCAACACAACGGGTTGGAACCACACGAACACACACACACATACACACAGTCAAACACCGGCGAGGCATAGCAATGCGCGTCTTGGCCACAAGATCCAACAAACAAGCTGGGGGACCAAAAGTCCATGTGTTAATCGTTCGCCAACTTTGCTGTGCAACAGACCGGCTAGCGCGCGTAATAAATATAAAAAACAAGCGACTTTAGAGCGATACTCTTTGTTGACGACTTCGTAATTGTGGTTTTAAATCGCCCATCAAAGAAAAGCCGCAAAATAGAGTTATTTTACAACAAAGCCAGCTGATGATCTTTGGTGTTTTTGTTTTTTATTTTTCTTTTGTTTGATGTGAAGTGAGGGGCCATAATTCATAAGTTTCGTTTACAAAGAAGGTCCACAATAGACTCTTACCTGGAAAATATTTCGGTTATTATTTAGCTTTTGTTTTGTTTTAATTGACCATTAACCAGGGATTTTTTTTTTAATTTGGTTCGACACCAATGCAAGTAAACGTTTAGTGCTCGAATATGGGAAAATAATAAACAAAAAATAAAAATAAATAAATGAAAAAAGTGCATGGATCATCAAATCATTGTTTAAAAGTTGTTGTTGAAAGTGAAATTGTAGAAAAAAAAAAAACAAAATCCAACGAATGAATCATAAAAACCAGTTAATTATCCCGTCCGGCTCTGGGTCATTTTGATTGATGCAGGCAATGTTGTAATATTTAATTACAAAATTATAAAAACAAAAAACAACGAAGACGAAACATAACAAATCGCCGGTTACCATAACCAAACCACTGATCGAACCATCGTCACCTAACTAACCATCCAACCCATACACAACACCAATCGATAGATGCGTGCCTTACCAAGTGATTGACCTTAAAAAGAGCAACGTAACAACGTGTATGTGTGTGTCTAATCGTCCATAAAACGTAATTGTGTGTGAGCAAACGTCGGATCACCTCCAAATTGGAAGCTGTAATTTCATAGAAAAGAAATTTTGCCATCGAAAGAGAAAATCCCGCTGTGGTTTCCAACGCCAACGAGCTTCAAAACCATTTTGTGATTGCATCTCCAACAGCTGCTGCTGCTACAACATCTGTTGCATTTCAAAATGACTTCAAGTGAAAATAAAGTTGAAGAGGTAAGTGTTCAGATGAAAAGCAAAATAAGCTGCACATATAATGCCATTGTCATTCCGGGCATTTTTTTGCATCAGAAAAAAGTGAAAGAAAGTAAATGTAAAACTGGATAACAATAGATGGATTTTGTTATTTTTTCAACTACTTTAGAGTAGGAAAAATTAGTTATAAGTCACTCTGAGGCATTTACACTATAATGGAGGGCAGTGAAATGAATTTACACTGAGAAAAAAATCTCCTGCCAAATTAATATTCTATAGATGTCCAATAACGCAAACCCTGAGGTCATGTGGAGTGTAATAGATTCATGGAGTGTATAAACTCTGATTTTATCTGCAGTGTTGTAGGACTGTGAAATCGCAAACACAATGTAGAATAAAAGACTTGGAGCCTTTAACCAAGCTACACCACATTGACAATATATTCGAGAAGAAGATGTACACACACACACTCGGTCGGGTCCGACTATACGATACCCTCTACACCACTATGCATATTTAGTAGATCTCCCGTAACAAAACAATTTATTTTAAGTAGATCATATCACCTATCAACATTTGGCTTTAGAGCAGTTACAGTTTGGTTTCAGAGGGAACTAATATATGGGAGGCATATATAATTCTGAATCGATTTTCACTAAATTTGACGGAGACATTTTAATCGTTTAGAGTGCATGGGCAGGATTCTATTAAAAAGTATATCACCCATTTGGGCTTATATTAGTCATTATTTGCACAACAAACCTGAAATCGGATTAAGAATATTTAGATGCTATATCCAAATCTTAGCCGATCTCGAAAAAATTTGGCAAAGGTATTTCCAAACATCCCCATATATATGTATCATCCGAATTGGGGTTAAGGCCCCCACATTCGTAATATGCAACCCACAAGATATTACCTTGTGGTGTAGGGTATAATCATTGATCATGGTGCGGTAACGATCTCCCATGGACCGTAACGCGAGCTCCGGACTCATTTTTGAAGAAATAAGGTTCGATGATGCCACCAGCGTGAAAACCGTACCATACGGTGCATTTTTCTGGATGTAATGGAGTCTGTAGGGTCTCTTGTGGATTGGTCTCACTCCATATGCGGCAATTTTGCTATTAACAAACCCGTTAAGTCAAAAATGTGCCTCATCGCTAAACACAATTTTGCGATAAAACAACGGATCATTTGCCAACTGCTCTAGAGCCTGATTTTCATAGTAAATTTGGATAATTTCGTAGTGTTGTTCAAGCGCGAGTCTATTCATGATGATTTGTCAGAGTCCTTTACTGTGACAAAATACTGGTCATTTGATCTGATGTAGGCCATTTGGTATACAATTAATCTGAAATCGGTTGAAGATATATGTGGAAGCTATATCCAAATCTGAACCGATCTTAATAATATTTGGCACAGGTGTTTCTGGGCTGTACCAAATATCATTGTTGTGAAATGCTAATTACGCATGTGAGGGACTTAAACATCAAATCGGATGAAAAATATATATGGGAGCTATATACAAACATATGATTGCATCACTTTACCTCCTTAATTCTACCATGATTTTTATAACAAATCTTTAAAATAAAATTGTTTACATCTGTTTGTTTACAAAACAACTGATTGTTGCACAGCCCAAGTTACTAGATAATTCTCACTGGGGAAATTTTTCCAATAAGAACTTACAAACTCTCAAATGTCTTTCTTACATATTGGACTTTTGGGTAAACGAACAGCTTCCAGCAAAAATTTGAACAAAACGAACACTCCTAATATGTCGTGACATGTCATGTTTATGTATCATTACATTTACAGTCACCGAGAATAAAACTTCTATCATGGCGCAATTACCAAGGTAATCTCATGCAATCACATAAGTACAAACAAGTAAAAAAGCAGTAAGTTCGACCCTCCACCATTTGGAACGAATTAGGACATTTTCAAAAAAAAAAAATAAAATCCATTAAAAAATCTATTAAAATCTTTAAAATACCTAACATCGGAAGGTGCCGGTATATGGGGGGATATACGATATTGTGGACCTATACAGACATACCTCTGTCTAGGGGTAAAGTACTCACGAAGAACTCCTTGTGTAGAATTTCAGACAATTCCGTTTAAAAATGTGGCTAAACTCATCAGAATACCGAATATCGGGGGTTTATACGATTTTATGGACCTATAGAGACAATTCATTTTCAGGGGGTAAAGTGCTCACAAAGAACCCCTTGTGGAGAATTTTACACAATTCCTTCGAAAAATGCGGTTAAAATCATCAAAATACCGAATATGGGGGGGGTTGCCGTAGTGGTAGAGTGGACCTATGGACCTATATAGACAATTTTCTGCCAAGGGTTAAAGTACTCAGAGAGAACTCCTCGGATTTTCAGACTACTCCATTAGAAAATGTGGCAAAATACGGGATATCGGGGGGTACCGTACCATCCCGGGGGCTATACGATATCGTGGACCGATATAGCCCATCTTCGAACTTGACCTGCCTGAGAAAGATATGTGCAAAATTTTAGCTTTCTATCTTAATTCGTTTTGACTGTAGCGTGATTACATCAGACGGACGGATATGGCTAAATCGTTTTAGAATTTTACGCTGATCAAGAATATATATACTTTGTTGGGTCTAAAATGATTATTTCGATGAGTTACAAACGGAATGACGAACTTAATATACTCTCCACACAATGTATGGTGGAGGGTATAACAACTTAAATATAAGCCTCATAAGTCGTGTAATGCTTGATTATGGAATGGCTGCTAGGACATGTATGTTTTGCTATAATACTGGTAGAAGATGACAATCAATCCCAAATTTTTAGTGGAATTGGCCTTAATTTTATTGCTGAAAATTGTCAGTGTCAGATGTCGGTTTGTACAGAATCCACATAACAGGTATTGAGAAATTTCTGCCAAGATTTTTAGCCGGCTATTGTGGGAATTTGATTCTTAAAGGCTGACTTAAAATAAAACGTCAATCGAGGACTGCACAAGAACCAAGAACACCGAGAATTTTCCTCACTCTTCCAGCCATATGGCTAGAGAGGATATATATCATTTGATACCGGCAAAACGTACCTTATCGAAATAACGATTTTAGACCTTAGGTCTCTTTGGACCAAATCCGTTTCAGGACATTTGGAGTCGATCTAGGATTATCCGCCCGCCCGTCAGTCCGTCTGTCTGGCTGGTGCGCACAATAACTTAATAACAATAATTATTAAAAAACTTCGATCGAGTTCGGAGATGGACAGTAAAGACCCCACTTCTTCTTGCATCTCCCCCACAAAAGGTCAACATTTTCATGGAAAATAATTTTCCGAATAGAAAAAAAAAGGATCACCCGATTTTTTTCAATTTTTTTCAATTTTTGCAAATTCCAATATTTGTATCAATGCTATGCCAGGTGCAAAAATGAACAAAATCGACACACTCAATCATGTACCTCCCACACAAAGGGTCTAGATTTTTAATAATTATAACCGTTATAAAATACGATATCCCTCATCCGTTTCTCTTCAATTTTCAGAAAATTCACTATTTTTGATAACAAAAGATCGGATGTGAAGGTGGGATATATCAGCCCACTCCTTCATGTACCTCCCCCACAAAGAGTCAAATTTCGGAATAACCATAAAGCTCATACAATTCGAAATAAACATCGGATACATTTTAAACTTCACACATTCTAATATTTCTACTAACACAAGATATGTTGTGAAGATGTGATATATTGGCTCATTCCTTCTGGTACCTCGACAACAACAGGTCAAAAACGCTCATAAATGCGAAGTAAGCAACCGATTCCCTTCAAATTTCACACATCCCAATATTTTTATTAACACAAGATCTGGCGTAAAGATGATAGATATCGACGGACCCCTTCTGGCACCTCCCCCACAATAAGTCACAATTTTCAATATTTATGTATCATAACTTAATTAAAAACCAGTAAAGAAAGTCCTAAAGTCGGGCGGGGCCGATTTTATGATACCCTCCACCACTTTGCTAATTTAGTTGAACTCCACTTAATAATTAAAAGTTTTTATTGGAGAATTCAATCATACACGCTATGATTATAATTATAATTTAAAATTCAAAGGACTAAATATGCCGAAGCATTTGCATCTTTTAAATTCGGACTTGTATTGCCCATTTGGTGCGAAATTAATTTGAAATCGGATAAAAATATATATGGGAACTATATCCAAATCTGAACCGATCTCGATCAAATTTGGCAAAGATATTTCTGAGCTGTATTTGATATATTTCCCTGAATATCGTTGTTACGGAGTGCATATTACGGCTGTGGGTAACAAATACAATAAATCGGATGAAAAATATATATGGGAGCTATAGCTATATCTGAACCGATTTCGATAAAATTTGGCATACTTATTTTCAGGCCTAATTTGGTTGTATGTGCAAAATTCCATACTATTCGGGCTGATATTACACGTTTGGTGCACAATAAAAGGCAAATCGGACGAAGATATATATGGGAGATATATCTACATTTTTACCGATTATCTCCAATTTCAATAGGGTTCGTCCTTGGGCCAAACAAATGTTGTTTGCAAAATTTCATCTCAATCGGATAATAAATGCGACCTGCATTTTGTTCACAAGAATACATGGACAGACGGACGGACTGACATGCATAAATCAACTAAGAAAGTGATTCTATGCAGATCATCAAAAGGAACTATGGGTCTATCTCGTTTCCTTTTGCCTGTTACAAACAAATGCACAAAGGCATAATACCCTGACCACCTTGTGGTGTAGGGTATAAAAACTAATAAATACAAGTAAAAAAGCTGTAAGTTCGGCCCGGCACATTCCACCATTTGGAATGCATTGTTGCAATTTTCAAAAAAACAAATTCGGTGAATAATGTAGCTAAAATCATCAATATAGGGAAGTATTATTAAATGGGGGCTATACCAAAATGTGGACCTGCACAGACAATTTTCTGCCTTAGGCTGCAGCATCCATTACGA